TGGGGGGGGGACACGACGACACTATTTGGACAATGTCATGGGAAAGAGACATTACTAAAACAACATCTTGGAAGAGACACAATTGGGACAAGGGCATAGAAGAGGAACACGGCTGACATTTTGGAAGAGGACCACAATTGGGGGAACCATTAGAACAAGACCATGGAAGCGGGGACACCTGGCAAGGTCACAAAGTGGGGGGACAAGGGGGGACACAGAAGCAATCTATAGGCCTACGCAGCCAGGAAATGTACAAGGAGGAGGAAGGAGCGTTCCCATCCCCCACCAATGGAGTGTTTTGTAGTTCTCCATGTAACCCGTTGGGGGGACCAGGTTTTCTAGTCTCACCTGGAAGGTGGGTTTCTTCAGCATAGCCTCAGCCTCCCCTCTGGCCTGGAAGTCCTCCCGGTCGCCTCCGCCCCTCAATGGTGGCAGTGTGAAGAGCCTCCGGTCAGTCAGCCTGGAATACACGGCTATGGTGCGCGGGAACCTCACCGGGGTCACAATGCAGAGTCCTGCGTGTTGCCCGGGGACCGGGCGGTACAGGAAGGAGCCCCCTTTAGGGCTCTTCAGGGTCTTGGGCCCCAGCGAGCACTGAACGCAGGCATCCACCTTGAGGTTCACCTGCACCCCGACTTCCTTGGTGTAGAAGCGGCCTAGGCCCGGGCCTAGCTGGCTGAGCAGAGCCTTCAGCTGGGCCCACCTATAGTCATCCAGACAGTCCAGGGGAAAGGTGGGCTTCATGGGCCCCGGGCCCCCCTTGTAAGGAGGCCTCCAGTATGGCTGCTTGGGCTTGTAGAACGGCGGGTGCTGGCGATAGGCCGGCCCATAATTGGGGAACAGCGGATACGGGGGGTACATCACTCCAGCCATGGTCAGTCACGTCCTAAACTAAGCAAACATGGCTGCCGGTGGGGGAGGTTTTATCAGCTACTAATCAGGACAATTACCAGCACTAGTGATCCCTTAACTAGTCCCTCCCTCCCTAACTAGTCCCTCCCTAACTAACCAGTCCCTCCCTCCCTAACTACTCCTCTCTGACTAGTCCTCCCTCCCTAACTAGTCCTTCCTCCCTCACTAGTCCTCCCTAACTAACGAGTCATCCCTCCCTAACTAGTCCTCCCACCTAACTAGTCCTCCCCCTCCCTGACTAGTCCTCCCTCCCTAACTAGTCCCCCTCCTAACTACTCCTCCCTGACTAGTCCTCCCTCCCTAACTAGTCCTCCCTCCCTAACTAGTCCTCCCTCCCTGCTTAACCCCTTCACTGCCACAATTCACCCCGTGCTCGTTCTCACCACAACGCATGTGCGCTGCCAGGTCATGTGCCTGGCAGTGCACATAGGTTCTGTGCGTTGTGGTGAACGATAGCATAGAGCACGCAACGCACACGCAGACGCACCGACATGATGGCGGGCTGCGTCCATTGGTTGCTGTGGGTTGTGGAAGGATAGGGCAGACCTTCCAGGCCCGGTCTAGTATGCCTCGGGGTGTGAGCATGGCTGCACCTTCGTGTCATTGGAATGAACGCCCCCCCCCCACAACGCACCACACGGAGTGGCCATTCGTTGCCGTGCGTGCAGGTCAGAGCAGTGGTGCGTAGGGGTGAATTCTGCCTGAATGCTGTGTGCTGTATACGCGTCACCCCCCGATCTGTACAGACGTGACGCAGGTCTGCGCTGTCATGCGTTGAGGATCGTACACTGCTGGTAGAGGGGGGGATCGGGGGAGTCCTCTCTATACATGTGGGGGGAGGGGATACCCGACAATGGCTGACGCATCTGCAAGTGTGCACGAGAACACAGCTGTGCCCCCGGAGGGGTGAGAGGCTTGTGCTGTACCCGGCCTTCTAAAAATGCGTTGTGCCTGGCTGCCCCCAAGGTCACTACTCCCGGCCCCAGAACGTCAGACGTTGTTACATTGTTGTAGTCTCTGTATACTGTCA